ATACGCTGAGATCTGCCTTCCATAGTGAATTATAACAAGCATCATGGCAAAATTAGCAGAGCAGAGGAAATAGACAGTCGCCTCAGATAAAATACTGCATTTCTAGTATGCATCCTAGCTTATCTATCAATATATTAGAACTCATCAAACACCATCAAAATACTAAGCAAGTTTCAAAATACACTTCAATGTCAGCTTAGTTCTGTTCTTTTCTAGCTGCTCCTAAGGTCATGACTATTATTTACTGCTGTGTGCAACCAGAGGTCTGTCATGAGTTGTAATAGATAAAAGCTCATGCTACTGAAATAAATCACAGAACTTTGTGTTAGATCTTTCTTCTTAGACCCAGATATCACCAGCATCCCCAAGTCCAGCCAGAAGGAGCACTCACAGAATCAGAGGAACCTATTGTTTCACATTACTAAGTGTATCAGAATTTGGGCATCTATGAAAAAATATTGTATTTAAGCAGAAGTAAAATATTGCCATACCAATTTATAAAATGGATAAGGAAAGTCAAGTAGCTATTTTTATAGTAAATCACAGAGCAATTTGGTTTGGGGATAGAAAAATCACAGGACTGTTTTCCAGTTATTTTTTCTAAATATGAGGTATGCTTCTCAAAATTCAGAAGGGCCATCCTTCTTTCTGCCCTACAGTAGATTCCTCAACCTGACGTGCAAATTCAGTCAAACAATCCTGTAGAACAGACTCCTTTCCTGAAAATACAGTTGTTAATTCCATCCTAACTATAACTTCAAAGCAGAAAGCAACTGTTCCCTTCAATCTAGTCTGTTTTTCAGCAGTGCCTATCTTACACATTCAAGCTAAACACTTGATTTAAAAGACCAGGTCTATGCTATAAATCCTTTCTGATATAATACTTCAAAGAATCACAATCCTAACTGACATTTTTATACCAACAGAAGGAGACTTTATATTTCATTTAGGAAGCTGGGAAAGTTACAGTGGAAGAAAGTCTTTTGACGATACAAATTGCAGCTCTGTCACAGATTTTGCTAATACAGTGATATCAGCAAGTCCAGCCACTTGGCCTTATTAGGGGGAAAAGACAGGCATGCATAAAAGGTATAGCACAAGTTACTTGATTTTAAATGAATAGGAGATAACCTACAGTCATCCCATGCCAGAGTTATAGATGTAAAAACATCAGGATACACTTGAATCGGGTCTCAGAGGTATTTTAAGTGGCACTAGCTACCACAATTTAAAAACAAAGATCATTTTTTCCTGCCTTTGTTCACCCCATACATGGTACCTAAAGTAATCTGCACAGTTCAGATGTAAGCTCCTGAACTCTTGCAAGCAAAACTGTATGCATATTCAGAGGCAAGACAGAGGGCAGCTAGCACCTTGAACCTTCCTGTGGGAACAGGTTTTACTAGAGTGATCACTTTACATAGGAGCACTCCAGCCATTAAAAGAATCTATCTTCACACTCTACTTCATAGTGTAGGCAACATTCTTATGATTAACATTTAGGAAAAGAATATGCCTTCTGTTTCCTAATGGAAACCGCTTCCGTGTCTTTTCCTACTATATCACCATTAAAAAACCTTCTGTGCTAGAGAGGAAGAAGGATGGACTGATCGAAGAGCAATAAAAGTTCTGGATTCCTCCTCCTCATGCTGTTATTTTAAAATCACCCTGGAAGCCACAGGCACTACCAAAGACAAAGCCTTTCTTTTTTTCCTCCACAGGAAATAATAGTTGCAAAAGTATGCAAATTCTCCAGGTAGCTAAGGCAATCCTGAGTAAATCAAACTATTCCTTTGGATGTTTACGGAACCATAGCCTAAATCTTAATTGTGGAGAAGGGAAAAGAGGTATGGGAAATAGCTGCATGTATCAGCTTTACACATACTTAAAATACAGGATGGCTAAGAAAAGCTGTAGCTTTCACCTACCTACGAAAGTCTGAGCTGTTTTCATGTTTAGAGATGGTCCCCTCATCACAGAAGGAATGGAGAGGATTGCTGAGTGCTGCTCACAGACAGCAAGACTCAAGATCCTTTTCCAGTACTCAGCCTGAGCCAGTTCCTGAGAGCCGAACAAAACTCGGAGCAGCTGGGATGAAAAGAGGCACCACAAGCTCTGAAGAACAGCTCAGGGTTGCAAGTGGAGAGCTGGAAGACCTGATACTTTCTCATCTACCTCTTTTAGTCACGGCGGTAAAGCATCAAGCGTAACCTGCACGTGGCTGCGACACGTTTCAAGGAGCGTAACAGAATCCAGCAGGATACACAGAAAGAGCTAAAGGGAGGCTTGTGGGTGTAAGAGCTAGTGCTAGTCAGGAAAAAGCCACAAATGCCTCCACAGGAAGCTCCCAAGAGGCAGTCACAGCGCCTACAAGCCTCCTTTGTAACAGCGGCTGGGCCAAGCACAAGACTGTGCTGGGGCTGGGGGGTGGAGGGGGTTTACGTTCTGCAAAATGAAGAGAGACAAAGCTGATCCCACCCAAAGCCCTGAAAGTAGGAATTTAATGTATCCAGCTTGAACAATACCCACACACAGCGACAAATTCCTCTTCCTCCCCGCCGCCCCTTCAAGTTCATAGCATTATTAGCAGTTAGGCAGGGGACCCAAGATGCTGCTAGGATATAAATCACCTTGGACACTGCTGCTGTCTGGATGCAACTCTGCCCTGGCATAGCTTCTCTCTTGCAATAATCCTGTGGCATCTGCTTCATTTGCTCCTGGAACTGAGACACTAAATAACAATGAAACACAAATACGACAGTTCCCATGAAAGTTGCGTGGAATACGTCACTCAGTATAACATGAAAACTTTTCCTATGCAGGGTTAAAAAAACATTTTTCATTATTCCTTATGAAAGCAAAATATGAACCCTCATTTTCACAAAGGGCTAAAGGAATATATTCAGATCTCTGAGCAATCTTTTCTATTTGAAAAATCTATGCTGTTACAAGTATTTTTGACCTATTTTAACAGCTAAAATACCTTGTATCACTATTTCAGACACTTGTAAATCCACAAAGGAACTAGTAGAGGGGAAAAAAAGGAAGTCTGTGGATTGAGGAGAAAGGAAGAGAGTTTCCGAATAACTCTGCCCTCTGCCCAAATAAAATCAAAGCATTTGTCCCATGAATGCTATGGGAGGGACAGTGGCACATTAGGATCCCCATTCTTGGATACCTTGATCCTAACACCTGGCCTCCCAAGTGCCAGACCCTGGCCCTTGTGCCTTCAGACGCTAGCCAACCTGAAACCCAAGCAGCGAGATTGCCATGGGTCTTAGATTAATACAAATGTGACACTGTGCAACATCAGAACTGGTGTGGTGGTTTGTAGTTTTACCTCTAATTAGAACGCAAGGGATAAAACAGGTACCATAACACAGCTGGGTAGGGTCTGTGTCCTAGCATTTCTTTGTGGATATGTTTTTGCAGCCAGGAGATTGGAATCAACTTTCTGTAAGGTTAAGCCTCTTCTAAAACCCCAACATGCCCTGGCCCTTCTCTCCAAATTGCATCTGGAAATCTAAACCTTCTCGCCAGGCTTAAACCCATCTACATACAAGCCTTGAAAGATCCAATGCCAATATCCAGTTAGAAGTAGTTCCGTAACACTTGCTAGTAAATTCAAATACAGGGCCTTCCAGCAGATTTGGGAAAGCATGCATGAGCAGAGTCTTCCCTCTAAAATACAAATCGCTGAGGGGAAGGTGAAAGAAATTACACAATCTATTTGCTACTTTGAGCAGCATGAAGGAAGACATGCACTTGTATGCATCTGCTTCTGTTTCTATCTCCTACAAAAATTGCAGGAAAAGCTTTTCCAGCTGATTTCAAAACTCTAATAGACATTTTTTAAAAACACAACCACCCCCTCCCTCTGCCCCCATTAGAAACTAGCTGACAGGGCTAGAAAAGGGTTTTTCTCTACTAGCACTGTCACTAACTACTAAAGAGATTTCTGCCTTTGCTACTTCCTTGTATAAGCAAGCTGTAATTTTAAATAATAATCATATAGGCTACAGCAGAACAGTTAAGAGACTACAGGCTTCATTTTCCAAGATAGGTTGGCAGGCAAATACTACTTTGACACGTGCAAGGCTTGTGAATTTTATAGCAATACTTAACAGCACGGAATTCTTAGATGATGAAAAAGCCTTATGTGTTTCAGGTGTGCCAGAAAGGAAGCTAACTTATTGACACCTAAGACAACTCCATTTTCTTCTATTTTTCCTTCTCACATCATCAAAACAATGTGGTTCAATTGGACTGTGCTTTTGATTAAAATATATACTGCCTACTACTTATTTCCCATTCATATTACAGATTAAGAAAGCTTGAAAACACTGTTTTGGCTCTCTCCAGCTCTTTTTATATGTTAGGGGCCATTTACCTTCTGCCAACGCTCTTTGCTCCTCCCTCAGAGAATTACAACATCACGACCCATGAAGTTTCTCACTGTATAAAACCAAAATAGGCCACTTAAAATTCTTACTTTAAATAGAACATGTCATTTAACAGTTAATTTTTGAAATTGTTTAAACAAAAATATATTTTTTCCCCTAAGGAACTGTATAATTTGGGATAAACTTCATTAACTCCGCACAATACAGACAACTCTGAACAGGTGAAGCATTTTAAGTATTAGAAAATGGGGTGAAAGAAAAGCAGCAATGATTTCCCAGATTAATAATACTTTTATTAATAACCTTTGACAGTTTCAGTAAGTTCAATTTATTAAGTGTCCACATAAATCTGGTTTTTTATACTCCAAAATACCCAACTTTTACAATTTCAAGTTTCAGTGCTTTGAGCTTAAGAACAGGAGCATATAATAGGGAATTCCTCCAACATATTCAATTCATAGATTTGCAAAGTCAGAAGGAATACTAGAATTATCAAAGTTTGACCTCCTGTATAACATAGGTTTTGGGCTTCCCTGATTTAACTACCATTACAGTCCAGTAACCGGGGGATTTTCTTTAAGAAAAACACCAATGCTGCTACTTCTTCAGTTTCTTTTGAGCAGCCTTCTTCTTGACCATTTGTAACCTTTTCATAGCATTGAGCTGAGATTCCTGAGAAGTCGGGCCTTTTAGGGAGGTTGACTGATTACCAGTATCTGCCGTGGTTTTGCTTGCGCTGCCCCCACTGTTACCCGTGGTCCCGCTGTTGCCATTCCCACTGCTCACCTGGCTGCTGGTGCTTGGCGCAGTACTGCTGGGACTAGGAAGACCTACTTTGCTGACATTGTCACTGCTTACCGAACGGCTAAGAGTGGTTTTCCCCAGTGTCAGAGGTGGAGGAGGTTTCAGCTGAACAGGGTTTGTGCTGTTGTTGGCAGAAGCTATTTTTGACCCTAGTCCTGTTTTGGAAGTTGCCAACCCTGACAAACCCACAGGTTTCTGGTTATTTGAAGAAGCTGCAGGTTTCCCACTGGCGCTCTGTGCTGTTGATCCCAGTTTGGCAGTTGATGGATTGGCAGAGGAGGTTTTGGCTGCAAAAGCAGCCCATCCTGTAAGGCCACTGGTTGCTGAAGAGGAAACACTTGTACTGGCCGAGTTCCCCGAAATTGCTGCTGAGGTCTAAAATAAATAAAGCATTCTTATTATAGCAGCATCTATTTGTGTAACACATCACAACAGGAATAGATCAAGCCTCTGTTTCAGTTCTTTTCCCAGGAACACCCAATGGACAATATTTCATCACTGGTCACTACAGTTAAAAGTATTAACAAGAAAAGGAAAGGATGCCAGATGCAGGCAACTTTTAATTTCCCAGCCACAAAGCCAGTATTACCTGTTCTTCTATACAGCTAGCAGGCTATCATATGGCATTGTGATCCCCCCATAAACTCTAAAAGATGGTTTAACTGAAGTAACTGCAAGAAGCCCAAATTTGTGAACTATAAAAAAGGGCAGCAAGCCACCACCTTTTATTGTTTACTGTCGTTACCTGGTGTCACTTTTTAACAAGATAACAGATGCTCAGACAAAAATCAGACACTGAGCAATTAAGTATTTTGCATTTATTACAGTCTTTTGGTCAAAGTAGCAGTGTCTAAACTTTTTCCTTCCCTTCCCCCTCCTCTTGGTTCTTAGCAGCCTGTACTATAGACACAATTTTAAAAAAAAAAAAAAGTCATTGGACTTCTTTCCTGTAGCCTTCCCATTCAGGTACTGCAAAAGACAAGCCTTCTGCAAACAAAGTTTTCCTTGCCTGCAAAGTGCAATACACATTAACTGCAGTTCCCACACCTTAAACCCTATAATCTTCAGTTTTTAGATGGGGATACATGTTGAATTATTAAACCAGAGTTATACAAAACAGCAGAGTGAAAATGGAAATTAAAGCCCTCTATTCAAGTAATACCCCTTCTATAATATCCAGATAGTTTCTAAGCAGTAAAGATGAGGGGTGAAATTGGGCCTCACTCTTACAGCCCATTTAGGCACATAAATAACTCTTAACATTTTGCACCTCAGCATTCACAAGTGTAAGTGCTTTAGCAATAGCCATCATATTACTCATGATGGTTTGCATCCAGGCAGAGCAATGGCAAACATAACATTGAGTACATGAATAATTGCTTTGATACTGAGTTAAAGATGTGTTTCCCGAGGTAAGGGTCATGCTTTGTTAGACTACTATGTTACTTATTACACTGGTTTACCACTTTTGACCAATTTGTGACAACATTTATTAGATAACTTGGGAGAAACAGAAACTTGAGGCAATATATACAGGAAGAAGCAGCCTCCTAAATTAGATCTCTCAGAGTCAGCTATAGTTTCCCTACTATCATGAGGAGAAGCCGCCTAACTATCAAAATACGCATGTTACTTGACCAGAGAGCAAATCGTATCTTTTATACAATTCATAGAATGGTTTGGGTTGGAAGGAACCTTTAAAGATCATCTAGTTCCAACCCCCCTACCATGGGCAGGGACACCTGCCACTAGATCAGGCTTCTCAAAGCCCCATCCAACCTGGCCTTGAACACTTCCAGGGAGGAGGCATTCACAGCTTCTCTTGGCAAGCTGTTCCAGTGTCTCACCACCCTCACAATAACGAATTTGTTCCCAATATCTAATCTAAATCTACTCTCTTTCAGTTTAAAACCATTACCCCTCATCCTATCACTACACTCCCTAATAAAGAGTCCCTCCCTATCTTTCCTGTAGGGCCCCTTTAAGCACTGGAAGACTGCTATAAGGTCTCTCCAGAGCCTTCTCTTCTCCAGGCTAAACAAACCCAACTCTCTCACCTGCCCTCATAGGGGAGGTGCTCCAGCCCCCGATCATCTTTTGTGGCCCTCCTCTGGACCACTCAAGCAGGTCCATGTCCTTCTTATGCTGGGGGCCCCAGAGCTGAACACAGTACTCCAAGTGGGGTCTCACAAGAGCCAGGTAGAGGGAGAGAATCACCTCCCTAAACCTGCTGGTCACACTTCTTTTGATGCAGCCCAAAATGCAATTGGCTTTCTGGACTGCTAGCACACATTTATGACAATTTCTACCTGTATAAAATTACATTTAAAAAAATCCATAAATTCCGTTCTCTCCCTTCTAACAAAAACAGAGCCAAGAGCTAGATGCATTAGGGACTTACAGTTGAATTGCGGGTTTTTCCCCCAGTCTTTTAGTGTTAATGCAAAACTACTATGCTATGGTACTACTCAGTACACATAGTATAGCAGACTATTTTCATTCATGGTTCTTGTGAGAAAAGTTTGGTCTAATTCAAAAAATGATAATCTATGCAGTAAAATGTAAACTCTTCCTCTGGAAAATTTAAACTACATTACCTTGACTTCCGTTCTCTTGAATGCTAGAAAAGTTGGTGGGGTCTCAGGTTTTAACTTAATTTCTGGCTTCTTGACCAATGGATCCTTCACAGCTGGTGCAACTGAAACCACTGCAGGAGCTGGTTTTTGAGGTGGTTTTTGTGTCTTCTGAGCCTGAGTAAGTGGTAGGGAAAAAACCTCCAAATTAGTTATAGGCCTCATACATTGACTGTTTTGACTGTTAACAAAAAGCATGAGCATTATCACAACTGCAGTCTAGCCTTTACAATTTCAAACTGAATGGTGCCTGAGAAATAAGGTAATAGGGGATCTGGAGGTAGTGCTGAATATGATACTGGGGACAGAGTCCAGGCAAAAAGCATACTGAATAGGACTTGCTATTTCAGCGTGGGAAGAGCGGCAGCATTAACACTCAGGGAACAGGAAAGCACTGGGCCCTCACAGAAATAAGGCAAAGACAGGTGAACTTGAGGAAGACAGGGACATAATCCAGCAGTACTGCAAGGCAGGCTGCAAGAGACTGCTAAGAAGTGGCAGGTAAAATGGTAGAACTTATGCTGAAACAAAAAAAGGAAAGGGCATATTGAAGGCAAACATTGAATGGCTGCAATGGCTATCCTGTGCAATAACTGACCTCAAGAAAACACTCCTCTGAGTTCAAAGGCCTGATGATCATCAGAATAATCATGTACTTCAGTCAGTGATGATAACTCCTAGGCCAGGATCTTACATTGCCTTCTTGTTTCTTAGTAGAGCCATTGCAACAGATAACAATTTGCTAAGTTATCACAGAACAGTTCCAAAATAGAACACATTTTCTGCTGCGTAAAAGGGTTTGATTTTAAAATGTCAGAACTAAAGTCGTGCGAACAAATGGTTAATGTTTCATGCACCCAAAGATGCTCTCTTACTCTGATGTTTGTTTCTCATTATGAGATGAGTGGGATTCCTGTGGGATCAGGAATAATTAGTCTGTTTAGTCAAGAAATTAACACACAAATTAATCAAAATAAAGGAATTTTTTCCTGGAATGTGCTACCCTCAGCTTACTGTTGAGCCTGAGAACACTCAGCACTTAAGATCTGGACTGAAATTTGCAGTCTTGTCTTACAGGAAAACAACCATTCATGTCCAAAGCTGAGAAGGAAACTAAAACTGTAGAGCTATTTGGTAGACATGTACTAAAACCCAAGTATCACCTGAAATAAAGTTTTCTCCTGCTGCTTACTAAGTAGGAAATAATCCTATTTCACTCTTCTTCACTCAGCTTCTGCTTTTTAAAAAGCTTTGTTTAAGAAGCATGTTACAGAATAGTGTTTGAGATGCTACATTAAAAACCACAGCTGCAGCAAGGGAAGCACTGCAGAGAAAAACAGTTCTCCAACATGCTTCCAAAGATTTCTGCAACCAGTAAATACTCTCATATATTAGAAACAGCCTGCTGTATTCAAACAGTGCTCATACAAAAAACTGACTCCTACCATTCTCTTCATCTGCCTGGTACAGCGGGCACAATACCACACAAGTCGAGGATCATTCACTTCCTTGTCTGTCACTTGAGGTTTATGGCAATCCTGGTGGTAGAGATTATGGCACTCCTGACACTCCACTAGCTGATTCCCAGAAATAACTGTCATTTGCCTGCAGAGCAAATAGTTAAGAACAGATTATGGGAGAAAGCACTTAAAGGATTATCCAATTGTTGCAAATTTTGCAAGGCTTAAGATAAAAACTATTTCTGCTTTCACGTGTATTTTCTACCTGTGGCAAATGAAATGTATTTCTTTTCTTCCTGTATGAGTATTCCTAATAAATATTTTAGAAATTTTGTATTTTTTAAAGGTAATTTCATTCAAGAAAATCTAAAACTTCTATACTATTAAACATGTGTCTATGACACTTTTGATTTCCTGTTTGATTTTTATATTAGAAATGTAAGTCTAACCTGCTTTGCTTCACCTGGGCATTTTATGGATACCTCACTGTATACTAATTATGACTTCCTCATTATATTAGCATATCAAGGCCTAGTTTATGTTTGGATAATTTTGCTGTAAGCTGTAGAGCAGTTCAAGACCAAATAATTTCTCAACAACAAGCCTGTAAGAGTGCTTTCTGCTACAGGTTTTAAAAGCATCATCATCCAAGCTGTATACTACTTTAAAGATGTTTTATTACCCATCCTTTTGGTCCCTACTACCCAAACAGGCACTCGGAGTTTGAGATAATACCAGAACCATGGAAAGATGGAACAGAGAGGATTAACTGTGCAGTCCTGCCTTGAAGCAAACATGTAAGCTGGTGATGAGGACCTAATTTTGCGTGGGCCTCTGGTGAAAGTAATCACGCTGTATAAATGACAAATTAGTGATATACACATGACTGGGAGTAAGTCTGTGAATTAGCCAAATACCATTTTCCCAATGATTTCTTCCTTCAGATGACAAATCAGGCTATTTAATTGCTAAGCTGCTTTTGCTCATATCCCCAAGGAGCAGGTACCCAGGTAACCATGGAAACTCTATTTGTAGATGGGTGGGAAAAGGTAATACCTTATTTCTTCATATAGCAGGAAAATGAAGTCTGAAGGTATTGTCCATATGGATACTAGAACATTTTCTAAGAAATATTTCTCTTTTAAATGGGCTATTTAAAAACAGAGGGAGAAACCTTTCTGAAATTCCAGGGCCCATTATTTTAGATGCAGGAAATTTCAAAAGCTGTTTTGTTTATTATTCCTAAATAAATTGGGTCAGAAGAATGCAGTGATGGTTCAACCCCATGTCTCAAGGAAGACGACTCACCCTATTTTAAAGTTAAAAGAACAATTCCAGACTGATTAAAAAACCATGAACTCTTCATGCCCAGAAACAAGATAAACCAGACTTATTTTTAAATGATATGATAACTGAGAAACAAACCAAGTGATTTTTTACCTTCAGAAAACAAACAAACAAGTATTCATAAAAACCAAGGTTGTTCTTTCAAAACCAGGTCTTTTTAAAGACATATATTTTGGGGTTTTTTTGAGAGACAGAGTTCCCTATCATCTATCATCTGATCATTGTATCAGGAACATCGTGGCCAGCAGGAGCAGGGAAGTGATCGTCTCCCTGTACTCAGCGCTGGTGAGGCCGCACCTCAAATACTGTGTCCAGTTTTGGGCCCCTCACTACAAGAAAGACATTGAGGTGCTGGAGCGTGTCCAGAGAAGGGCAACAAAGCTGGTGAAGGGTCTGGAGAACAAGTCTTATGAGGAGCAGTTGAGGGAACTGGGATTGTTTAGCCTGGAGAAAAGGAGGCTGAGGGGAGACCTTATCACTCTCTACAACTCCCTGAAAGGAGGTTGTAGTGAGGTGGGTGTTGGTCTCTTCTCCCAAGTAACTAGTGATAGGATGAGAGGAAAATGGCTCAAATTGCATCAGGGGAGGTTTACATTGGATATTAGGAGAAATTTCTTTCCTGAGTGGTCAAGCATTGGAACAGGCTGCCCAGAGAGGTGGTGGATTCACCATCCCTGGAGGTGTTAAAAAAAAAATGGGTAGACGTGGCACTCTGGGACATGGTTTAGTGGGCATGGTGGTGTTGGGTTGATGGTCGAACTGGTGATCTTAGAGGTCCTTTCCAACCTTAATGATTTTATTCTAGTTTTACTTTCATTAAAAAGTAACCCAGCCACCAAGCCAGGAAACATGAGATTAATTACTACTCTACCCTTAATTGGTTTAGTGGTGGACTTGGTAGTGTTAGGTTAATGGTTGGACTTGATGATCTTCAAGGTCTTTTCCACCCTAAACAATTCTATGATATGCAAACCGCATGTAGTATTTCTTCTTCATATAACTGAGGAGCCATATAACTGGTGAGTTCTATTTTTCTAACATCTGCAGGTACTGGAGAGGTTGAACTTAACTTTAATACTCTCTCTCCTTATGCCTAACTTGGTATAAAAGAACAAGAAGAAAACCACCATAGGCATCAACGTTCAATACTCCTAATTACTGTGAAAATACATTTGACACTTAGCAAATCTTGAACAAACATTTCATGTCTCTAGTTTTTACATCTATAGCAAAGGAACAGTTAATATTCAAATATACTCTTTTGAATTTGTGAACCCAGTGCCGGGTTCTTGTTAACTTGTCTTCTTAAGCAATATAAATATAAACCCTTTGGCTGTGAACCCTACCTACTCTGCAATTGGACATGGTGTTTTCATTCACAATTGATTGAATAATTGATTGAGTTATTAAAAGATGTCAGTTTCTAAATACTATTCATACTTGAGTTATTTTATAGTGTATCCAGTGCTTTTATATTTCATACGTATATTTCATACTACCTGAAAGGAGGTTGTAGTGAGGTGGGTGTTGGTCTCTTCTCCCATGTAGTTAGCAATAGGACGAGAGGAAATGGGCTCAAGCTGCGCCAGGGGAGGTTTAGTTTGGAAATCAGGAAAAATTTCTTCACGGAAAGGGCAGTCAAGCATTGGAACAGGCTGCCCAGAGAGGTGATGGAGTCACCATCCCTGGAAGTGTTCAAAAAACGGGTAGATGTGGCACTTCAGGACATGGTTTAGTCTAGTCTACCCTTGATTGGTTTAGTGTGGACTTGGTAGTGTAGGTTAATGGTTGGAGTGGATGATCTTAAAGGTCTTTTCCAACCTAAACAATTCTATGATTCTATTTCAGCTCAAGATGGCCAACCCCAAAAAGGGCCCACATGTTGAAAGCTGAGCAGTAAATAGTGGAATACTGTCTAACCAATGTGTTGGATTCAGAAAGTCTGAAGCACGAGTACTCTGAGAAACATCGTGTCCAGCGTGAGCTGGAGTAGTAGAACCACAAGACATCACTTCCAGCACGTTTCATGTAAAATGAAAATAAATCCTGAGCATTGGGTGACTGTTGCCATCGCCTCTCTAATGGGTTGTTTCTTTCCCTGTTGTGCTTCTCCCTCCCTCTGGCATCAGCTTAATGAGAGCTATTTTAGTTAGCCAGGCTAGATGCATCTTTTGCAAGAGCACTATGAATTTGTGACCACAGTTAGCTAGAAGCAACGCCTTCAGCAGCCAGGTTAAACATTGATTGTGGAACAGCTAATGGAACCACATACCTGGCCTATGCTTTTCAAAGCAAAGTCTTGGCCACGCTAGGCACAGTAGTTGCATTTTCTTTCTTTACTTTGCAGGCATTTCTCATTATGCTTGTACGTGTTTTCCTTTGCCAGGGAAGATGCAGAATAAATAATCCACAGCAGCTGAAGACTGTCTAAACAAAACTTTTCTTTATCCCCTCCTGCCAAATAAGTTAATACCATACTGGTTTTAGTACCATTTTAACATAGTGCTGAACAGGGCTTTGCCCCTCTAGGAGACAGCAAAAATGGAATTTGTAGGAAGAAAGGTAAAACTGAAATATTTATTTCATACTTCAAATGTTTTAACTGTTCTTCCTTTCTTAATGCCTATAATAAGAAATTAAACGTTTGAGCCAACACATGGGAATAATGTGACATGAAATCTCATCAGTTCACAATTGGTTAACAGTATAATTAGCTGTAACAATGGAAAGTTATCCTCTATGTACTGGAGACATCTCCTTATCTGCAAAACAGGAACGACCATGGAAATGACTGAAGGACAAAGTTATAAAGCACAGTTTCCCAGCTGGCTTAAGCTGAGCTAAAGTATATAACGCTACCAAAAGGCCAGTCCCACCTTCCTCTCTGTCCTGGCTCCATGTTCCTGCATCCACACATGTGCCAGCATAAGCATTTACACTCACTAAGCTGCCTGAAATGTAAACCTACCAAAAAACCCAAGTGGAGACCTGATCCAGAAGCCGATTCAGCTGATCAAACACCTGTGTGGGCAATAGACCCCCCTAAACAGGACAGGGAAGGCGGTACAATTGGGAGAGCCAAACTGTTCCTTTTGGCAGCAGTGGGCACTTACAAGGACATAAACCATCTGTGAAACCAAATCCTGTTTTGAGTGATTTGATCCCAGGGTGGATATTCAAAAGCGTATTTTATACTTCTGTTAACACTAAATTTATTGTTAGCAGAATGTTACTAAGATCCAATTTTAGAGGCCCTTACTGAAAAGTAAGAAGAACCTGTCTTGACTGCAAGATATATTTACACCGTTAACTGAAAAAGCATGGCTATGTGTAAACTAATGTCAAATGATTATGAAAAGAGGAGCAACACGTACAGATCTCATAATAATGCCACTAAAAATGTTTTCAGAAGGGAACCAATTTTTTAAAAATGCTTATTATTAGCCATTAATATTTTCACTTGTTTTCCCCATAATTGAAAATCAGTATTTGTCACGACATGTTTTCCATCATGTCTAGTTTTATTATTTTTCACTTGCCCTTTCCTGAAGAAGAGTTGGTTTTCTCATTAGAGGTTTCATTATCAAGAAACCATTCTTATTCATGAAGGATGCTTAAATGCATTATTAATTCTGGATATGTGCTTAAGTGATTTCCAGAATAAAAACTCCAGGAAGCATTAACTCAATAGTACACAATTAAAAAAAAAAGGTAACTACACAATTGCAAGGAAGCAGTGTTGACTTACCTGCAAACAACACAGGCTAATCCCATTTCCATAGCAAAGTCATCAGCACTGGTTTCCTCAAAGCTAGATAAATCAGGCATGGATAAATCCTTGCTTGTCTGAACTGTAATAGGAGAGGAACGAGCCTCTTGCTTCTCTAGTCTGGGCTTCTTTGGTGTATCAGCTCCTTCAGGGGTATCCCCTTTTATCTATTACACACAGACAGAGAATGTGAAAATGCAAAAAGCTAATGGATATTATTAAAATGAGAAAATGACTGGAACAATTAGGTTAGCAGTATAAGGTGTACTTTACACAGCATAGACACAACTTATTTTCCTTACATACGTATTTTCTTCAAAACATTTATGGATGAGAAGCTCAAGTCCACTTTTTGTACTTCACCTCAAAATCCTTGAAAAAGCTTTGGGAATCCCACATTTCAGCTTGCTACATTTTAGTAATGTCTTATCATCAGGATATTTAAAACATAGCGTCACAGAAAGATCTGGGTTGGAAGGAACCTTTAAAGGTCATCTAGTCCAACCCCCCTGCAATAAGCAGGGAAAACATTCACAGAATTATAACAAGACTTTTGTTGGCTTGCCCAGAAGGCAACATGATTGGATAATGCATCTCACAGGCTATGCACAATTAGATCGAGTTGGCTTAAGCAGGTTAAAAAGGAGAGCTGTTGTCTAAAACATCTTCAAGTTTACTAACCAAGTTATTTCATTAAAGAACAAAAATTACTTACTTTATCAGCAGACCTCTTTTCTGTTTCTTTTTTCGCCTTTTCTGATGCAGTGGGCTTGCCATTGTTGTTGCCAGAAGGCAAACTAGAAGAAGCTTTAGGCTCTTGCTTACTGGAAATAGGTTTGGTAACAGGTACTTTGGGTTGCTCTACTTCCTAAAAACAGAAACAAAAATTGAAGGCAAACCCTACACTTGAGTTACTTCCTAGTTTGCAATTAGTTAGATAACAGGATAGGCAAACAACATGTCAGACAACAATGATCACGTACATATATACCGTTTTAAACATTTCTGAAATATTTTCATACCACATTGACAAATTAGTGTATTTAAGCTGCAGTCAATTATTAAAACCTCCCCTTATCACTCACGTTCCAGAGGAAAAGGTGCTCCATTTCCACAGACAGATCCTCTTTGGAACATTAATTAAAAAAAGGAAAACTTTTCTGCTTTTAAAACTCAAAGAGATAATGAACACAAATTTTCAGATAGTTCTGAGCACAAAATTCAATATAAGCTGAAAACATAAGCTGACATCTCATGTCACCAGACATCAATACTTCATTCCGTCAGAGAAAAATATTGACCTCCACTTAATCTCAGTCCATATTCACCTATCAGATTAATAAATTTAGATCTCAACAGAAATCAATAGTTCTTATTAATGACGCATTAGTGTCAGCAATGGATAATAAGCAAGTGAGTCTGTGAATGAGTGATTAGTCACAGCAATGTGCATGAGCAAGGTACCCCTCCCCCGGCTTGGTAAAATGGGGTAGTGCTCTGCTGTATACTGGGACAGGTCCTGAGCCCTGAGCTTTGCCCCCCGCCAAGTTTGCTGACTTCCTGTTGCATCCAGAGTCAGAAATGGGTTTCCTCATCTGCCCGACTGTGGTAATCCTGTGCTTCTTGCTCTGTTCTTGGATTTCACGGTCAACCACAAATTAATGCTGTAGCCTGAGAATGGAAGGAAAGGAATGCTTGTACTTTTTCCATTTCTGAGCTTTGCAGTCCAGCTGATACTGGAGACACACTGAAAAGAGGAGAACAAAAGATTTCCTCCTCTGGCCTCAGTCTCACCTGAGGGCAGGTGACTACCAGCTGAGCTGTTACTAGAATTGCACTATTATTTGGCTCCCGGCTTCCTCTTTAAACCACAAACCAATGCTTCTTTGAGCTCTGACACAGAGGGCTCCTGAGAATTTTGAGACCTGTGCCAGAGTGAACTGCAGTTTAGGTTTCAGGAAATTAACAGTTTGAATAGAAAGGAGTTAGACCACACAGTACAAGCATGATGGATGCTGTAAGCAGTAATGGTGCCTTTTAGTTATTCAGAACCATGTGCATGTAGAAATGAAATATTACTAATGTATCAGCATACAGACCATCATTAGAACATACCAGGCTGACTTCTAGGCATCCTAGGGGAGAATACTACCTCATTATCCATATGGCAATACGTAGCAGTATGAGGATGTCCCCGCTTGGTTATTTCCATACACTAATCTCGGATTCAAATATTCTCTCTAGCAGGTGTTTAGTGATTTTCAATAGATGAAAAATAATGTTTGTCCATTGGATGGCAATGGTTTCAGCCTGCAAATAATTTCTGCTTTGAACCATTTGGTGTTATTCATTCTCATGTGACTTCATCAACAGAATTTCAAGAAAAGAGATCCAGCTTTATCAGTAAATAGCTTGTTTTATTTCATATTTATCTGTGGCAAAAATAATCTGCATTTTAAAGACCTTTTAGCTCTGATTGTAACTGAAGAAATACATAATTTTGGGTTCACCTCAGACAGCATGCATGATAGCTTACAAACAAAAATGCCAAAACTGATATAAAAGTGAATACAAAAAGTACCATTGCAAAGTCATGACACTTGCAATATAGCATTGAATATCTCTTTTACGGGTCTCGGTACAACAACAAGGTAAAAAGATTTTTTTTTCATTAACTTCAATTAATCAAACAGATTATGTTGCGTAAAAGGGGAATGATGAATAGAAACATTCCGTAATTATTTTTCTTTTTCCTCAATTTCTGATTCTCTTTTACCTTTTCAGCTATAAAAGATGAACTAGGAATAGCAGGAGCTTTAAAAAGACACAAAAAAAGTGACCCATGTTCTCTAATACCAATACCTTCTGAGATGGACGATAGCTTGAGTCAGTTCCTCTGGCCAAAGACTCATCAAGAAGTGCTTTCAGCTTTTCAGCAGAGTCCTTACTCTTTGAATGCAAGAAGCCCAGGGCTTTCAGAAAAATGGGATCAAGCTCCAAGTTCACTGTAGCAGCCATAGTGGTGTCTTTGGAGGGGGGGGGAGAAAAACAGTGACAACTTTATTCATATGGAGCATAACTCAGGCAGCATGTGGCTATCTCACAGAAGGTTTGGGTTTTTTTTTTGTAAGAAGAAATTACATTAAATCACAGCAAGGATGATATGTGAATTAATTATCATCATTAGAAGATGACTGATTGTGAACCTCAGAGCTGCAGAACTTGAATTTGGCTTTACATCTGAAATGATGTCAAATTCATTCTTTGGCATATCTGATGTTCAGAAACTAAACTCATCATACTTACATAAATGGAACAAATATTCCATATCCTTGATATCACATACATACAGAACATTATGCAAAATAAGTGTAAACTTCAAGGAAAGCAATTATTACCCTTCTCCTTAACATTATTTGCACATACAGTGATTTCTATCTCATTGCTCATTTAAGAACAAAGAAAAATCTTACTTGTAGAAAAATTAACTTTTGAAACTTCTGAAAAGAACAGCTCATTGTAACATACAATGAGATATAAACCAGCTAGTATATGATGATATATATATTAAAAATATGAAAAAATATATTGTCCATTTTTAAATTTAGATAAAACAGAAAATTTGTAACTCAGATTGTGATTCATCCAAGTCCACTTGTGATAGCCTAGGTTTTCATGTCAAGTAATGACTATCCAGAGCTCTAAGATGCCACAGCACGTAAATGAAATAAAGTGAGGAAAGGGTTAGAACAAATTTAAAAAAAACCACATACGTTTGCTTCATAGCAATACACTCCTGCATTCTGGAGCCTCCTCTGTTAATTTATTTAACAAAAGCTCTAAGGAACTACATTTACATCAGAAATTGTCCCTACAAAGACAGCTAGCTCTCTAACTTAAATCAGTAATTAACAATTAATAATTTAAGAAATAGCACAGAAAGAGAAGTTTCCTGCTCTTTTCCAAAATGAATGAGAAGTGGTATTATTAATAATCCCTTTGAATCCCATTTGAAACACATCAGGATGTTTTATTTTTTTATACAGTAATCTAGAAGACATTCTTGAAAAGGCTTTCATCAGTTCTGCTCAAAAGCACTGCCTGGACAGCTTTTTCAGCTGGAGCTTCCAAGATTTTGTCTGATGAGTTCCTTTTGATATTCAAGGCAGTGAACTTTTACCTCTCTGGCCAAAACACCAGCAGTGGCAGCCTGCTCCCTCAACACTTGCCTAGAAGTCTCCAGGAACCTTTATCTCATGCTGAGCTTTCACGAGACACCAGAGAATCGCGTGACTGAGATCATCAAGGAGTTTGACATACAGTAGACTTCATAGGGATTTTATCAATGGACCCAGCAGAGAGTTAAGAATCCTCTTCAAGAGCTTCTTCTCTCTTCCTTAATCTTTGCTACTCGTCAAATCATTTTCTGCTGGCCACAGAACTTCTGCTGGTAAGTACTACGCACCAGTTACTCTGCTTTTTCACTGATCAAGCAGAGACTGTAGTGCGAGCCCCATCCAGACAATTCAGACTCTCTCTCTCTGATGTTTACAAAAAGTTAATTCAATGCATGTGGAAAGCACATATCCTCTTTTTTTATGCATCTACCTCCGATAAATTTTCAGGCTGCTCCCGAGTTCTGTGAGTAGGTTATCTCTTCATTTCTTTGTTCTGTGAATACGCCTTCCAAGTTTCAGTACCATATAATCTTAAATTAGGACTCTGCTAAACCCTCTGTTGAATGAAAATAGTAGAATTAAAACACCAATTTCAGAAATTTGGAATAATTTCCTGTTAAAAAAACCAATCCTTCTTCTAGGAATATATACTTGTGTATGTAAGGAACAGGTAGCCTCAACAGTCATTAGCAGCCAATTCAGGATGCCTGGAGTATTTAGAGAACAAGCATGCTAATTCTATTTTCATCTTTCTGAAGGTAACACTTCCCAGATTTATCTCTAGCTCTACCTTTTCAAAGAAATCTATTGTAAAGGAACTGTTAAAATCCAAATTTCAAAAGGGTTCTCTGTATTTATTCTTTTATTTGCCTATGAAATTGCAGTAATTCTTTCTCTGTTCTCAAGGGTAAACTATAATGTCATAGGCTAATGCAGTTATAACTAACTTATCCCGAGAAATTTTCTCATGAGAAGGGAGGGAACCGGGCTCATTAAACAGTTCGAGTATGCTCAGTTTAGGCATAAATTTTCAAATTAAAAAAATCTATTTCTAAGTTAAAGAAGGTAAGTATATTTGACAGAAAGATGAACACATCGATAGCTGTCTTAAGAACAGCATCACCTGAAAACATTAACTTGCTAAATATGCTCTCCTTACTGGGCCACAATAACACAACTGTCAAATAGGCTCATACCAATAAGTGGCCTGGTCCAAAAGGCAAATTATTGCTTTTGGTAACGGCCTTTTCCAGATACTTACAGATGTCGTGGTTTAGCCCCAGCCAGCAACTAAGCACCACGGAGCCGCTCGCTCACTCCCCCTACCCCGATGGGATGGGGGAGAGAATCGGAGGAGTAAGAGTGAGAAACACTCCCGGGTTAAGATAAGAACAGTTTAATAATTGAAATAAAGTAAAGTAGTAATGATAATAATAACAATATAATAATGATAATAACAATAATAATATACAAAGCAAGTGATGCACAATGCAATTGCTCACCACCTGCCGACCAATACCCAGACAGTCCCCGAGCAGTGATCGCTGCTCCCCGGCCAACTCCCCCCAGTTTCTATACTGAGCATGACATCATATGGTATGGAATAGCCCTTTGGCCAGTTTGGATCAACTATTCTGGCTGTGCCCCCTCCCAGTTTCTTGTGCGCCTGGCAGAGCATGGGAAGCTGAAAAGTCCTTGACTGGCATAAGCAGTAATCCGCAACAACTAAAAACATCAGCGTGTTATCAACATTCTTCTCCTACCAAATCCAAAACACAGCACTACGCCTGCTACTAGGGAGAAAATTAACTCTATCCCAGCCGAAACCAGGACAACACATCAGAACAGTGGTTTGATACTTATAAAGCTAAGATCCAGTTGCATTAATTCATGTTTTCATTCATAACTGCTCCTCTGGTGGTGAAGTAAGCATATAGCAACTTGACAGTCTTGGAGCAAGAATAGGACAGTGTTTTAACGATGCCATAGGTTATTCTGTGCGAGAGCACTCCATGACTTTCTTGTTGAAGTGGAATCTTTGTACAGAAAAAAATTCAAATGTTGTTTAGGAAAAAGAAATAGGGGAAAAAAGTGAGTATGACACTGTCTTTTGTGTAGCAGTTTGATAACGCAGCTGTGAGATTAGAGGGCTGTGCTATAATCCTTGAACCCAGAGCAGAATGGGTTTTGCACAAAGCAGTAACTGAAGGGAACATGCAGGCAACTTGTGCAGCAGGAACAGCAACTCAAGTACACCCTCTTGCAACTAAGCATTAACCTATTAGCCCAGCCCTAAAAGCACCTTTCTCAGCTAATGTCTGTGTTTGACACTTCTTCACTATTGTGTAAGAACTGTTTGATCATGGATAGACAAGACCAAATATAAGGTAACAAAACTCTCTGAAGTATGTGAGATAATATAAAAATCCTACAATGGACAATCATGGAGTATGATCTCTCTTAATGCTAAATGGTTTAAATCCCCGTGGGGAGAAAAAGTGTTGATTAGTGGGTTGTTATTCTTAAAACATGTAAGAATTTTTTCAGTGTCTCTCTTGAGCATACTATTGTCTTCTGCCAAATACATACAAGCTTAATTGAGCACTATACAGAATATGAGGTCTTCCAATTTAATAGACTTACTAGATTTTCAGGGCATAAGAGACCCTTTCTTTTCATTTACTTGACAGCTATTATTTTGCATGCCTACACATGTATTATCTTATTCATCATCACTTTCGGTTACATGGATCTACTTGCATGACATTTTCAGATATGGTATATTTTCATCCGTCTGTTTCTAATCTCCTATTTCTATTATTTTCTGAGACAGGTATACAAGTGAAGATATTTTTCCAAGAAAGTGCATACCTTCAATTTATATTGCAATGCTATTATCAAATCCATTCTTTATAAACTCAGCAATACTTTTATTTTTCACTGACACTAATGATTAAAAGGACTTTCACTCACATATCCTTTTCAGCTACCTTCAACATCTGTAGCAGTTAACTTCAAACCCAGTAACACGAATCAGTAGCACAAAATTCCTTCCAAAGCATGCACTGTGTTCATCAATAATAAATTTCACTTACCACCATAATATCAATTCACCTCCCCCACCGCCCTGCTTTGGATTCTTCTGTCCTTCAGGACTTTCTCTCTTCCTGACTAATCTAATGACTGTGACAGTGGCAGATTTTTCTTATTTACCAATAATGCCCTTTCCAGATCACTTTCAGATTTAATGTAAGTCTTAATAAAGTAGATCAAGGAAAATCTTAAAAGCAGGAAAAACTAAACTTCTGTTTTCCATTTTTGGTTTAGTATCTTAATCAGACTTGATTCATGACAACTTAATTTCTCAGCTATCTCCCATGAGGGATATTTCAAAACTCACGCACTTCAGTAGTCCAGACAACTTTATTAATCAAAGCAATTGTATTAATCAGTTCTTATTTATTTGACATCTTCTCCAAAGAATGTTAGAAGAGTGGAGTAAAGTCTTCTGCTATGGAGTTATTTGTACCTATGGAACTTAGTATGGAGTTATTTGGATCCTTCATTTTACATTCTACAGCTTATTTTATACTGTACTTTAAAATCAATATTTCAATCAATATCACAGTAACCTGTTTATTCAAAATTTCTAAGATCACACTATTGCCCTATATTTGCCATCTTCTACTCCTCACAAACAGTACATTATTTCAGTCACAAAATCATTCAGTTTGGAAGGGACCCCAAGTGGTCACCCTGTGCAACCTCCTGCTCAAAGCAAAGTCAACACTGAATTCAGACCAGCTTGCCCAGGACTTCGTCCCATCGGATCTTGAAAACCTTC